ACTCTGAGCAATACAACGGCCGGGACGGTCCCTTAAGATGCCCTCTGCCTTTAAACCGGGGAAGAATCACGAATCCGCCACACTCGGGCTCCACCCACGGCCAGCACGTTCACAAAGCCGCCGAGGATCAGAGAGGTCAAAGTCACGTCCCTAGAAAATTCAAGCGGAGAGGTTCACAGCCCGGCTTCCCATCATCCGTGCACTTTGCAAGTCAGTTTGCTGCTTCTGTGAACACGGGTGGATTAAGCACAGTGTGATGGTTAATTTCATGCCCTGACTCGACCAGGCCATGCCCCCACGTATCTAGTCAAAGGTTATTCTGGATTCTTTTCTGCGAAGGTGCTTTCTGAATGAGATTAACATTTAAATTCGCAGGCTCTGAGGAAGGCAGATTACTCTTCACGATGCGGGTGGGCCTCGCCCAATCAGCTGAAGGCCTCAACGGAACAAACACTGCACTCATCTGAGCAAAGAGGGCCCGTGCCAGCTGACGGCCTCTGGACTTGACCTGCAGCTCTTTCCGGGTCCCCAGGCTGCCAGATGGCTCTGCACAGTTTGGATTCACCTGCCTCCGTAATCGTATGAGCCAATTCCTTAAAATAAATCTCTCTCTATATATATGCCTTATTGGTTCTTTTGCTCTGGAGAACCCTAACGCACCCAGGTAGGAACTATGGCAGGAAAGGGGTGGGGAAAGGCACTACCTGGGTTTCAGACCTCCTATCTGCAATAGTTTGCAACCTTCATGTCTCATTTCCACGTCTCGGTGAATCGTATTTCAAGCGGCTAGCTGGGATCAGATGGAACAGAGCATTCTTTCCAAGCTCCGACACAGCTCTGTTGAACCTACACCTTCCAATAGCCTGGGGGAGGCAGGAAGGAGGAAGGGCCTCCCTGTGATATTCTCCAGCCCCGGAGGAAAAAGAACATGCTGATTTAATGAATTTGACTTTGAATATAATCAGATTTTCTCTATAGCAACGGCCCCAGAACACAAGCCTTCCGGGGGGGCCGCAAGCAAAGAGCGGCCATCTCCTGGTGAAACACATCACACGCAGGCCACAAGAGAAGCTGCCACCAGCACCTGAGTCACCAGACCCCGGAACGGGACGGTCACATCCGGGCCTCAGCTGTAGACCAGCACGGAGGGGGGACAGGCCAGCTGCAACAAGCCTTGGGTTAGGCACCTGATAGGTGTTCACGTAAAAACATGCTTCCCCTCTGATTGGCAGACCTGAAAGGTGGACAGACGGTCTGACCC